GGGTGGGTGCTCAGGCACAGTATGGCTCAAGCGAATAGGCCGAAAACAAAGAGGGCCTGGTACCTTAACTCAGTTGAGGCCCAGAACCCGGTTCACAGCTACTCGCTCAGCTACTTGTGCACCCCACCGGGGTTTGAGCAGAAACTTGAGCCAATGTCATATTTTCACACCCCCTCATGCCTATTGCGCGGTCAGTCCTTCTTTCGTCTTTCGAAACTTCTCCTGGCTTCTTTCACCAGGAAGCGGCCTAAGCCCTGCGGATAGACACCTGTCGCTGCCACGCTAGTAGCACTCGCGTGCTCGTGGTTGCCTGGGCAAACACAAGAGGATAAAGTCCAGATAAAACTTGAATCCGAACTGACGAACCACCAATGCTTCAGGATACGGTTCCCAGCTTCCTCGAAACAGCACCGGTCTACCAAACACTCGTGCTCGAGTCCCAGTCTTTTTGCTGTCGACTTGTAGACTGTTTCTCCCCAAAGGCCAGACCCTTTAGGCCATTCGTGGGAGAGGAGAAGCCTCTCGTGGCCAGCATAGTCTTGGAAAACTGCTCGTATGCGTCTCCAAGACTTCTTGTGTACCTCCAGACTAGCTCTCCATCTCGCTCGGTTCTTCACGTCCTTTGAGAAACGCAGGTGCCTAAGGCCACTACCTGCGCTGCACGGCGTAGACAAATGTGCATACACGTAGATTCTTTCGTTGGAAGCCATCTTCTCCAGAATCCCTTTCATTAACAAAGAAGCTTCTCTACTCAGCAAGTCTAGCTTCTTGGTGATTCCAAAGTACGCGATGTCACGGTCCTGCTTACAAGCTTGGGCGATCGCGCTTTCCTCTTCGCAACAAAGTTCCAAGACAACCAGGTTGCCCTCCCCAGAAGCAACTCTGTAGGCCTCGTCCTTCCACGAGCTCGGAATTGCGAGCACTTCGTCACAGGTATTGGGCTCTTTAAAGGTAACCGAAACGCTAGTGCCTGAAGCTTTTTCTTCCCAGCCAACCGGCTCGGTGGTCAAGCCACAAGCCTCACACAAGCTTGCCAAGCTGTCATTCGTGGGACTTTTCGTTAGAGCATCTGCGGGGTTGACGGCCCCCGGTATGTGCTCAATTGTGAACCTTCCACGATCCACAAGTTCCTGGAGAAATGCGGCTCTTAACTCTATATGGCGAACTTTCCTCAGCAATGTTCCCATTTTTGAGATACAAACCGCGCTTTCAGAGTCAGAGTAACCCTTCAAGAGATAGTAACCGGTCTCCCTGTCCTGCGGAATGCCTTCCAAGATGGTCTCTGTCAAGAGGGCAATGTAGGCTGGCTATCTCCGTGAGCGCCGCAAGCTCACTCTCAGCGCTGGACAGGGCTGTGGTTGATTGTTTTCTGCTAAAAGTCTTTAGACAGCAGTTTTCCCAAGTAATCACACCACCACTAACCGAATTCAAACTCCAGCTGGCATCTGTAAAACAGGAAACCGCCTGAGGATCCGCATCATCTTCCAGGATCTCCCGAGTTGATGGAAACACCTGTACTCGGCGCGGAAGCCCTTTTATCCACTTAAGGACGTCTCTCACGCACGTCTCAGCAGCCTCGTCTGGCGCCGACTGGTGCCGGCCCAAAAACCCGCAGCAGAATTGCAGGTCCGGTCGGGAGAGGGCTGCCCATGCAAGCCGACCAAGGGTTCTGCGATACTTTTCGTGCGCAGCTGGGCTGATCTTTTCAGTTTGCCCTTTACGAACCAGGTCGGAGTATCGCTTTTCAAGCGACGGGAGTTTGGGGCTCGGTTTGGTTATATTGTACTCAGAGCAGCACGCGTCTAGGTACTTGCTATCTAGCCCGAAATAGACGCGCTTGTCTCCGGAACGTCGGAATATTCTCCTACCCAAGAAGGAAACTTCCCCCGCACCATTCTCAGGAAGCTCTCCAGTCAGTTTCAGCTTGTAGCGTTTCTGCAGTCCTTCGAAAACTCTCTTACCTTCCGAGGGGTCCTCGGAGTAGATCAGCAAATCGTCTACATAGAACAGTACCAACATCAGACCCTTCGACGTCTTCCTTCGGTATATCGTAGGGTCCAGGCTTGGACTGAATCCGCTCTTCTCCAAGTACGAACTCAGTTCCTTATACCAAGAAAGCGGTGCCGATCTCAATCCGTTCATCGCTTTGTGAAGACGAAGATACACCTTCTTGTTTCCTGCCTTTTGGGGAACAGAAGAGTCCGCAATACTCACATTGTTTGGGAGCTCTACGTACTCTGGCCTTGACACTGCAGCGTGCATGAAAGCCACGCTCACGTCACAGCTCAACACTGAGCCTTTCTTGCAAAGCAATGCCAAAAGAAGCCTTAAACCCTCTAAACTCGTAGTCGGGCTGTAGATGCCTTCTGAAAGCGTCGTGCCTCCCATTGAAGCGTAATCTCTAACAACGAGGCGGGAACGGTAAAGACCTTTACGTTTGATCGTGTTAACCCACCTGCTCGTGAGAACCCTCCGACCGCTCTCTCGCGCCGACTTACGGGCCTCAGCTTCAGAGATCACTTTTCCTACTCCAAAAGACTCGAGTTCCTCAAGCTCCAACTTCATCGAAGCATACAAAAGTTCAGGGTCTAACTGTTCACCTGAGGTCTCAGAAACGGCGTTTCGGGGTACTTGGCACTTGATCTTACTCCCTCCGAATTTGAGAGTAAACGAATCAGCTACTTCTTTAGACGTGGCCAGAATGTCCGGTCCTTTGAACAAAGACTCTAACAGATGGTTAGTTAGCCAGTCAATTTCCATGTCCTCTAGGTCATCCGGCTGCATTTCCGGTGACCCAAGTCCGCCTTCCCCCTCATCATCTGTGGGTTCCACGTAAGACGGAATATCATTCAGAGGATCAGGATCATCTGGTACCATCTCTTCATCTTCGTTTTCAAACCCTGGGTCAGGGTCTTCTGACTTCACCGGATCAGGCGGTGGCTCAAACATGACAGGCCTTTCAGGATCCGCTGGGTCTAAAACGAGAGGCTGTGAAGTAGACAGAGCGTGTATGGCCCCTACGTCGTAGACAGGCTCACCTTTCGCTCCTTCTAAGGCCCTACATACAGGAAAGATATCGATCTCAGTCTGACCCAATGGAGCAGCAAAGACACCGCCCCCTCTAGGATCTTTAGGCCCTAGATACACAGCTTTCACTGTTTTCTTTCCCCTGTACTTCTGTTGATGCGCTTTTGAGCCCCCTACTTTAGCGTAGACAAGACATCCAAACGGCAGGGTCCTCGTACGATGCACAATCTCCTCGTGCAGCCGGTCAATGGGCGTAGTCACGTCCTGGTGACTAAAGCTCCAGAGGTTGTAGCACCTGGCACTGTAAAGGACACAAGCTTGCCAGAGCATTCCTCCCAGCGGAAGCTTCTTGTTCCAGTCTTCCGGCGCGGAATTCCGCGCAACTTCTCTCTCCAAGTCTAACCACACTGCCCAAAATCCCTGCTTCATAGTTTCTACTTGTCTTTCAATAGCGCCTTTTGACTGAGGGCGATACCCGGGCACGACGTCCACAATGACGCCAGAAACAGCTACATCACCTGTACGGGTAGTCAATTTTTCGGCTAAAGACATCAAAGCCGACTCCTGATCACATCTCACTGTGACCATTTTATTCACAAGACCCATTTCGCGAATCACTCGTCCAATGTTGTAAAACAGATCTGGATCATCCAAATTCATGGCCGGGATGACCGTGGTATAGTTCGAAGAACAATGTGCAAGAAGCAGCACACGAAGACGACCGAAGTAGTAGAAATCCATTCCTATCGTCTGGTCCTCGCGTTGCAAACGCCTTCGCAAGCGTCTCGCAGGAACCTTCCCTTTACTCGAGGTGCAGGCCTCACAGTTTACATCATAAGGAAAATGACCTCTGGATCTATGCACTTGCAAAGCCACACTTCGCAGAGGTATCCTATCTGAAACTTCTGCACCTCCAGGCGGTTCCGGGGGTTTAGGTGGTTCAGCACCTTGAGGCTTCGGAAGCGGACTCTCTTTTTCTCCTCTCTCTTCTCTCTCTGAAGAACGTGGCATGTCACTATCGAGTTCTAAGGGCTCAGCTTGCGTCCCCTTACCGGGGAGGGGCAGTCCACGCACAACTCTCAGGTGGCTGTGCTCAGAATTGGATCTGCTCCCTTTTTCATCATCGCCCTTTCTTCTCAACAAACAACAACCACACACACTCCAAGCACAACACCATGCCATGCACACCAACAAGCTCCACAAGTTCCTGTCGAGACAAAGGCCCAAGCACATGGCCTTACATGCGAACTTCAAAGAGGCTTTAAAACCTGAGCTCCAAGTTGGTTTCACAACGTGCCTGCTAAAGACCAGAGTACGTTCTACATCAACTCGAACATAACAGAAACGAGTCTTGATTCGCACTCGGACTCCTTTACGACGATGGTGTAAACGGTACTTTCGGGATACAAGTTGAGGGTAGTCACCAACTCCTCGAAACCTTTTCAAACACATCTTCAAGAATCGAAACCCTAACCAGAACGAACCCCCCAAGAGACTTGCTATCACATAGATCGCCAAGCAAGCGAAAACATCCAATGCTTCTCCTGGCATGCAAAACAAAGCACTCCTGGCCGGCAGGGGTCTGTCATGACTCATGTTCAGGAGGTTTGGGTTCGTGGCGTTTCTGAGGTTCACACTTGAGGGTATTTCGGATCTTTGGGGTACTGCTTTAGAAGATCGACGTTCTTTCGGGCTAGTTAAACGCGGACTTGAGGGTATTTCGGATCTTTGAGGGTACTGCCGAGAAGATCGAAGTTCTTTTGGGCTTCTCTTCAAGGGACCTTCAAGCTCGCACACTCCTAACCAAGCAAGTCTCACACAGCAACATGTCTGTTCAACTGCTTCACTCATGCTTCTTTCCAAGTCCAAACAAGCCTGAAAGACACTGTGTTTTTCCAACGCGCAAGACATGCGATCGGCGCGTTCAGAAACAATTCCACAAAAGGAAGAATTCCGCACAGCCTTTAAGGCCTTCACTTCTTCTGGCAAGGGGAAGGAAGCACAAACTTCCTCTCTTCGGCTGTTTGACCCAAGCCGCCCGGAGGCGGAAGGGCACCCGCTGCGGATGATGTAGCGGTCTCGGATGTAGGCCCTTCCTCCGCTGTCACGGTTGCTGGCTCTGGAGCTGCAGGCAAAGACTCTACAGCCACTGGCGCTTCTGGAACCGTCAAAGGCGAGGAAGTTGGAACCACAGACCAGGCCTTCGGTGTAGCCCCCGCGGGTGCTGCCTTGGATTTCGACAGAGCACCTGGAATTTCCCCAGGAGCTGCCTTCGGGACATAACCGGGACCTGGAATTTCCCCTGGAGGAGGGGTCTCCGGCACACTCTCCGTTGTGGAACTTGGAGCTCCAACCAGTGCCGTGGGTCCTGGAGTTTCTGGGGCCCGCTCCTTTTCCACCACCATCGGCTCCACACTGTGGTCCGAGGGACCAGGAGGAGCAACAGGTGGAACATCCAAGAACTTGAAGGACTCCAAAGGGGCCAATGAAACTGCGGAAGGCGAAGGAGGTACCGGTGTTGAGGGAGCCGCAGTGTCCCCCTGAGGGGTTCCTAGGGCTGCTGGATCGAACTTGTACCCGTCCGTCGCGACCGGCGATGGCTCCATAATGATAGGAGACGGTGGGGGCGGCGCAGAGGAGCCCACATCCTTCAAGGCTTTCTCCGCTTCGATGAGCGCCAAAACTCTGGTCCGGCTCTGCATCATGTATTCCCCCATTGGAATCGATTCGTCCGACGAACTTGCCGAGGATGACTCTGCAGACTCTGTCTCCGAGCCTTCGTTCATTGCTCCAGTCTCCGAGCCTTCGTTCATCGCTCCAATTCCACCTCCAGTATCTGCAGTCTCTTTGGAAGCAGCTGCAGCCGTCCTTCTGGCCTTGACCTTGGGTCGAGCGGACTGCAAGTCCTCCCATTTTCGGACCTCTGCTTCGAACTCGATATAGCGCCAGATGCGCTGATCCATTGCCCCCATTAACGCACGCCACCCATGCCTGATGGCTGAGCCTGGCACCCATTCGAGCTGGAGCTCGACGTCGTCTGGATACATTCCAGCCAAAAGGTTGCGTTCCGCCTCCGGCATGGCCTCGTAAACGGTCACGACCTTGAGGATACGCTTGATGTAACCCAGCGCAGCCACGTCCCCGCCACTCTGGTGGCGTAGGTGACTTGGATCGGGAGTATACCCTTTGGTGAAGAGTGCGGCCTTGACCCGCGAGTTCGAACCTTGTAGTACGCTCGTCCAACAACTCGTCGGTGAGCTGGGGAAAATCCCTCTTTCTCTTCACCGGAAGGATGCCTCCTTGCTCCGGGGCTTCCGGAAACTCGGGCAGCCACAGCGCCCACGCAACCTCCGCGCTGATGTAGGGCGTTCCATCCAGAGGATCGGGATCGTGATCGCGAAGCCTCTTGGACCAGCCCGTTCCCAGGCACGGCCCCACATCTGGGTCTGGACGTTGGATCCGCCCAAGGAGCTTCTGCCCAACCTCGAGGAGGTACCCGTCGGTCATCAAAGCATCTGTCAATGACGCAAAGATGGTCCCCTGGCGGGAAGGATAAACGATCCCATCTCCGATAGACATAAGTGGAACTGCAGGTTCCAGGTTGTTCTCTGAAATTGCCGGCACAGGGTATCCACATGCAATAAGATCTATCTTCTCGCTGTTGTCGTATCGCTTGCATAAAATACCTGAAGCGCGGTCCCCTCAACATGCTTCTCCACTTCACTATCAGCGACGGCTCGGCTGATGGCTGCGAAGGCTTGGCCTTGCTTGCCCTCCATTTTCCCCATGCTTCCTCCTCTTCTGTCTCTCCTGTCTCTGATGCAGCCACCGTAGGCGAAGGTACTGCAACTTGACTCGGAGGCCTCGAGAAAACATTGAAGGGGGCAGCTGAAGCCTCTGCATCCGCAGTCTTGGCGCCGCCTCTGCTGGTGCAGGCTCTACTGGTGCATTCAAAAACACAACCTCCTGCCCGGCACTCTCCGCTGGAGAGTTGTGGGAATCTTGCTCCACCTCCATTTGCGGTTCCGACATGCTCAGTACCTTCCCTCAGGGAAAACCAAGACACGCAAAAACAAGCAAAATGGCTGCGGACAAACATGCGCACTTCAAGCCTTTTTGAGGTCTTTTGGGCTTCCTAACGCAAAACATGCTTGGCTCTCCGGTTGCTTTGGGGCACTCACTTCCTTTAAGGGCAAAGCGCAAGCCTTCCCTCCCGAAGATCAGAAGCGACAAGCCTCTCACACACAACCCCTTCACCAGACATGTCAGCAAAAACATCACGTTCCAAACTGCGCACACATGCCGCTGCCAAAAATCATGTTGCTGTCTGACAAAAACATGGCATTTCCTAACAGAATCATGCAGTTTCCTAACCAGACTTTCGGAACACAGACTCCTATCACCACTCAGGACATGCGTTTTTCCCGTACAGATCATGTCATGCGGTTTCCTAACGACGTGTTCTTCAGGAATTTCCAGGGACCTACTCCTAACCTCAGCCCTCAAACCGCGCAACATGAACTCAAACGGCGTTCCCGTCAAGACATGGCGGATAGACTTCTCGTCCTTTCCAGGCTTCTCATCACTCTTCGCTTCTTTCGGAGTCTTCTTCAGGATGCTTGGTCCTGCAGTAATGTCTTTCCTGGGTTCCTTGTCAACAGGAAGAGAGTCGATCTCCATGTCCGATCCCTTGGATGGGCGTTTAGGAGCTTTCTGCTTCTTTCCGCTAATCGCCCACCAGGCCCGTTTCGCCCCAACCAGGCGGACATTCTTCTTTCCACCCTTGTAAATGCGAGACCCGGTGCGCGCAAGGTGCGTCTTCCAGCCCCGTTCCGACGCGGACCACGGAGATACCACATTAAAAGGCACGTCCGCCACAAGGACGTCCTCCAACGTCAACGAAACGTCGCCGAAACGAACTTCCAGATCAACGACATTCGATACGTTTATGATGTCTCCTGAGGCACTATAGAGCGTCACCGTGCGATCATGGTACTTGCAGACACGAAATCCTGACAGATGATCTGCTGATACGATGTGGCATGTGGCTCCACTATCGACCAGCCACACATCACGATGCTCTACCTGCAGCGAAGCGCAGACGTATGCCGCATCTCCCTTCGAGGTGCTTCCAGTCAGGGTGCCTACCTTCTCATCTACAGTGACTTTCGGCTCTACAGCGGCCGGTCTAGGGACTGCCTCTACGGGCTTAGGCTTCTCAGGCTCAGGCTGGCTCAGTACTTCTCGTACAGCAGAAGGCTTGGCAAACCTCATCGCCATCACGGTGGAGGTCCTCGAAGACTCGGACTCTGCCTCGGACTCTGGTTCTCCCATAGCCCGGGCTCTAGACTCTAGCCTTCTTCTTCTTCTTGCCTTTGCCCTTGCCTTTATCAGGCTTGTCGGGCTTCTGCTCCTTGTCTTTGCCGCCTTTTCCGCCTTTCTTTCGGCGTTGGAGAGCGTGGCTTTCCTTTGGGATTCTGTGCTCCCTTGCCATCGCCCTTCTTCCCCTTGTCGCCCTTCTTGCCCTTTTCACCGGCTTCACGCTGACGGCTCCAGCAGTCCTTAGCCAGGTGTCCCTTTCGTCCACAGTGGTCACAAAGCTTGTCACCTTTTCCTGACATCTGCCGACTTGAGGAAAAGGGACCCTCACACAGACGAAGCTGCTCCTCATAGTACCGAAGGCTCTCGCTCAGCGATGTCCAGTCGTTGCTCTTTCCATGAAGAACGACGTACTGTCTGAGCTCCTGGCTCAGAGCTTGCAGCAAAACACTGCAGCGGTCAGCCTCCGTGAGACGCAACTCTGGAAAGTTCCCAAGCTTGGATTCGGCACGAGAAAACTCGTCCTCCAAGTGACGGATGAGGTCCGTCGGCCGTCGGTGATGCTGGCACGTAGTCGCCAACTTGAGGCACTGCTCCCGCACATAGACAGCTTCCATGCAAGACACGATGCTATATTGCTGCGTGATGGTCCTAACCGCCTCGTATCCGCAGGCACTGAGAGACTGCCTTTTCGAGCACGAGCGTAGCAACTCCTGACCTCTTTCCCAACGTGAGAGAGATTGGGTGAGATAGTAGTAAAGCTTCGCACTTCGAGCAGCAACATCATCCGCCAAATCCTTCTGAAGGATCTCATTCTTTTGCTTGACGCAGAGTTGCAACTCTCGAACGAAAGACTCATCTTGAAGAGCAAGCCACGATGACAGTGTCTCCAAGTAGGCATGCCATGTCTCGACTTCTCGCATTCTGCCCTTGTTCATGCCTTGATGCTCTAGCATCGGCAGAGATGGAAGGTACTTCTCCGCTCTATTCTGCACCAGTGGGCTCCGAACAGAACTTGAAGACGAGGTAGCTCCTGCAAAAGGCACAGAAGGTGTGCTCGGTGCAGCTGCAAAAGGGTCTTCCGTCTTGGCTCTAGCTGCAGCCTCCGCAACCAAACGTGCGGTCTCCGCTGCCTTCTCTTCAGCCTCATTTCGACGCTTCTCTTCCAAATCCATCCTTCTCATGAGGGCAGCTATCAACTGCTGGTTCTGCTGGTTGGCCTGACTTTGCTGCCTTAGCATCTCCAAGAAGATGGCTTGGAAGTTGCCTTCACCAAGGCCATTTCCAGCTTGTACTCCACCCACTTGGCTTCCAGCAGGCGAAGCATGAGCTTGAGCTGGAGTTGCCGGAGGCGACGCAAAAGGGTTCGCTCCTCCAGCAGGTGCTGTCGGCTGTCCTTGAGACCCAAACAGCAAAGCCTCTTCCTCAGGGCTCACATCAGGTACTGGCACTGTAGACGCGTCCGGAACTTGGGCCATGGCTTTTCCTGGAACGTCTCTTCAGGACGCTCCGCTACCATGTGAAAAGCAGAGCTTTAGCGCAGACTGCTTTTTCCGTTCGCACTTGAGCCAAACACGTCAGTGTTCAGCTGCACTGTCTTTGGTCAGCAAAGGTGCTCTCTCCAAGAGCAAAGGCTTCAAGTCTTCAAACGACATCTCAACTTTGTTTAGACAAAGGAGAAGACAAAAGTAACATGCAAAACATCTTGGTTACTGCTTCAGGACTTCAGGTCTGTTGCAAAACATACAGCATGCTCTCAGAATGCCTCAGTCGAGTGTCAAACGGTCACGACACGGTACGAACGACGGGGCAAAGCACACGGAGTGAGTAAGTGAGTAACGGCCAAAGTCTGTTCCTCAGAGCTTTGCTTCAGCACTTCCAGATGACTCTCAGGTCAACTCCCGAGAGCTAAAAGCCTCTCTGTGCTTCTCAAAACTCATCATCGGACTTGCAAACCAAAACATGTCAAGTCAAAGCACCTTCATGTCATGCAAACATGCTCATGCCAAAACAAAACATGTTCTTGCCATGTCACAGCACTCATGTCCTACACATGTACCTGCAAGCAACTAGGCAAACAAAGAAATGTCATATTTTCACACAAAGGAGACGATAGATACACACAAGCTGGCACCTTGCCGGACCCACGTTTTTCGATTTAGTGTTTAAGGTTTACGGTTTAAGCACAAGGACAGACCGGAGCCAAGAAGAGTAGTAGACCTTAGCGAAGCAGTAAAGGATCAATGCTTGGAGCAGAGTCATAAGGATTGAGGCTCTCAGGTACCAAAAAGGCACGGGAAACGCATATTCCGTTCCAAGAATGGCAAGAATTATAGCCATGGCTTGGATGCCAAAATCGTTTTATCTTTTCGCTTCGATTCCTGCAGGACTGTGAACTGCCTGGTGTGTGCCTTGAGGATCTCAGCGAGACAGCTGCGTTTGGAGCTTAAGTCTGTGTAGCAAACAGGTCCTTCCGTCGTGTGTGTGCGAGCGATGCCACCTTCGCCCTCGCCAAGCGTCTCCTCTTCTTTCCTCTTCTTCGCCCTCCTCTTCTTCCACGCCCACGCATTCCTTGCGTGCCCAGTCTCGAGACAGCGAGGCTAGCAACTACGGTGACACGGATCCAACGCCTCTCATGAACAGAACAGACAATGATGCCAAGCCCGCCAGTCCAGATATGGTCTATTTTTGGAAGTGGTCTGGTGTCAATGCCGACGTCGCGCGGCCGGAGGTTGCCGATAAGCTTCAGGCAGCTTATGGTGCACAGGGTCAAGTGATCCAGCATATGTCAGTTTTTCGAGAGCGCCACCAACAAAGCCAGTCTACCTTGGAACAAAACTGGCACTTTCACGCGGTAGTACAAACCACACACTTGTGTAGGTGGAGGCTTCTTGCACGACACTTGCGGGAGAATTTTTTTTTTCCTCTGGCGCCTCTTTACTACATCAGTAGCACAGTAGGCCGGTCTTGTTGGGCTCGACGAAAAGGGTGAAACAGAGTCAGCGCACACAACCCGCCAGACACAACACGAAACCACCAAAGAACAGACACCGAAGAAACAAAGCGAGCAATCGCGCTAAACTACTAGATACCCCACGGACTCAGTACTCGAGGTCGTCAATGAAGTCCCGGTGCACAAGGAAGCACAGAGCTTGTGGGGGATTCGCAAAATGCGACATTGCCAGATTCACAAAATCACCATCATGTAGCCACTGGTGCGACAGCGGTTAGTCAACCCGAGGTCATCAGACGAGGTTCGGATCGCTTAATCGTTGTCAAGGAAAGACAACCAACACTCAATGGCGAAAGGATGTTGCAAGTCAGACTCCCAAGGGGGGATGAAAGATGTGCATATGCCCCATGGTGGTCAGCCAGTGGGGACTTAACAGCAAGAACAATCCAGGCCAGACCGGCCCAGGGCACTCCATGGTGGTCAGCCAGTGGAGTAGCTCCGAGCACAGGGTTCACCAGTCAACCTGGCGCACAAGTGCCCACCCTCAAAGGTGCCCGCGCACGGCCAGAGGGGGGGGCGAGAGTAGCAGCAGCTACCGATTACCTGGCGCACAAGGGCCCACCCTCAGAGGTGCCCGCGCACGGTCAGAGGGGGGGCGAGAGTAGCAGCAGCTACCGATTCCACGGGGAAAGTCCACGGCGAGTTATCAAACCCTTAACGCCACAGGGTTTTAATGACACCGAGGGACCTCCCAGTCCAGGCATCTCACACAAGGCTACGCCACTTTGGCACTGGCCTGCGCATCGGCACGCATCAGGTCCCTTCACCCAAACCCGCGAGGTACGTCGGTAAGGAGATGGGAGGGCTCACATCACCATCATGCAGCCACCAATGCGAATACATTCAGCACCAGCCAAGGCCGATCACGAGATGGTTCACAGTTTCGCCATCACAGGTGGAGCAAAGTCGTGCCTCAGCACGGAACGTTGTAGGTGTCAACCTTCGTGTTCCGAAGTATAAAGTTGCCCCATGGTGGTCAGCCAGTGGGGACTTAACGGCAAGAACAAAGGGGTAGGACCAGCCCAGAGTACTCCATGGTGGTCAGCCAGTGGAGCCTCTCCGAGCACAAAGCGCAACGTTCTTTTGACTCACAAGAGCTCGTCCGCCGGCCAAAGCAGGCTTGACTGCAGGCTTGACTGCTTCGTTCCACTCAGAGCCATCAGGTAAACCAAAGCAGGCGGGGACCCCACCTGCCCCGCAGGAAGCGGGAGAATCCCCCAGTCGAAACTTCGCACTCAAGGCCAAGCAACTATCTCCTTGGCCGGTGAGGGTTGAGGGTTCAATACCCAGAATCAGCCCGTCCATGCCCAAACTGACAGACGTCGGTGAGGAGATGTGAGGGCTCACATCACGCTTGGCCACCTACCGATGGGGAGGTAGTCATGTATGGCTGCTTTGACGCAAGCAGAGATAGACACCAAGCAGGCAGGGAACCCCGTAGCAACCCAAGCACAGGCGGGAATGGCTCTCGTGAAGGCCAGGTTGTTCACAGGTGCTCGATGGCACATTGCCAGGGAAGTGGAAGCTGATCTCCGCATAGGAGTGTCCACAACCCGGAAGCAGCATCCCCTAGCTGGTCTCTCCCAATAGGCATGACGTCGTTGTACGCCAAGGGGGTGTCACCTTCCAGACGAGAGATGGCCAACCCTCTAGTCCAAGGGGTTCACACTTGATCGTAGCACATAGAAGCAGGCAACCTGCCCACCTAGAGGGGGCAGAGGAAAGGAAGATTGGCCGTTTTACCGATGACAGAGCTGGAACATCCAGGCAGGACCGGCCCAGGGCAGTCCGTGGCAGATGGCCAGTGGAGCAACCACGAAAGAAAGGCCCCCCGTCACCATAGGCACAACGCAGGGCCGACACAGAAGGGTGTTCACAGGTGCAGGCAGTGAGCACACAGAAGACAAGCACGATCCAATCCGTGGCATAGACCACGAGAGGGTTGCCAAACCAAGAATATCCCGAGGTAGTCTTGCGGCATGTATCGGCGAGGAGATGTGAGGGCTCACATCACGCTAGGCAGCATGCCATGAAAGGACTCAATGGCGCGTTCATGGCGTCAGTAGGAGCCCTCAGATGACAGCTTGCTGTCTATTGCCAGGAGCCCTCCCAGTCCGGACGCCGAGAGCGATGGCCATCGGAGGTGGTATGGGAACGCGTACGGCTGGGCATGACCTGCATTGGGGGCAGCTCTTGCTCATCAACCCCCCACTCAGGGATGCCGTCCGGAATGGGGATACCTCTGTATCTTGTCATTGAGGTTTGGGCCGCGAGCCACATCACCCGGACAGCTTCCTGTTTGCCGGTACTGCACAACACCTTCGTCCTTATACTGATAGGGGAAGGAGGTAACTGCCGCACGTAGGGCCGAAGGATCAGGGTCCTTGGAGGTGCCATGGCAGTACATCTTAAACCAGAAGCTGTTGAGTCGCTGCTTGGTTGGATGTTTAGCTCGCATGAGCCCCTTAATGGCAGCCCAGTGAGCAGTGGCTGCGTCATACCACTCATTTCGGGGACGTTTTGGCCCATGCTTGGTGGGTGTGGTGCTGATCCCTTTCCAATGCGCCTCGAAGATGACTGGCAGTCGGAAAGGGGCTGAGACATCCACTTCTCGCAAAGCTGCAAGGTCAGTGGTTCGCAGCTCCGAGAAGCGCCAATCATTCACCTGTGCCTCGGGTTCGTCCTCCGCATCCGACATGTCATCCATCGGGCAGGGAGAACCTTCGTTAGTTTCAGAAGAGATGCTGACGACCTCCGGCGAGGCTGCCGCAGTGTTCACTTCCACCGGCGCAGCCAAGGGCGAGGAGAGCACTCTAGGGGCAACACTCGCCGTAGAAAAACAGCCATTCTGTGAGAAGTGTCAGGCCATTCCAAGTTATAAACTGACCAAAAGTGTTCAATGTTTTGGTTGGCCACCGAGGCCGCAAGGGCAAGCCGGATGGCGTCAAGGAAATGGGCAGGGGGGTGGTCCGGCCTAAATTCTTGATAGTGCCTTTGCCCAAGTGTCTCTGTGCCCTGCAGCTGATGCCTAGGAACGTATTCAGGTTGGGCTGGGCAAGCCTGGCCTTTTCCACGTCCGTGTGCTTAGCAGCTGCGGCCCATGCCTGCAAGGCTTCTTGGGAGGCTTGGCCAGTGACTTGTGGCAGTCCACTGTGCGCGTCCATCACATATTTGGTAGTAGGGCACTTGGGACACCGATAAGCGCGGCCAGCTAAGAAGGCCACCATGGCTGCGGGCGGCACATTGATCTGCAGGTCAGTAATTTTATTGTCAGATTCAGGAAAACCAATAACAATGGGCAGCCCGGCCGTTCGCTCCAGGGGACCTTTTTGGTGGGACTCGAATGCGAGCAGAAGTGCACCCAGCCAATAATCTGGGTCAGCGTAGCTGAGCATTGCAGGAAAACTGGCATTGATGACACTCGGCAAGTCCGACACCGCAGAGAAAAGATCCGCGATGTACTGC